CAAATAATGCCGACTGGCGACTCCCAGGGGGAGGGCCTTCTCTGTGGGGGCTCCAACCCTTTGGAATGAACTGCCCCCGGAGATACGGAATATCCCTGATCTCCGTGCTTTCCGCCGTGCCCTCAAGACCCTGATGTTCCAACAGGCGGGGCTAAACATACAAACATGCGAATGATTTTTTAAATGTTATCTAATTCTGGGTTTTATTTCATTGACCAAACTAAGTAACAATTTTAATTAGCAATTTTATGATGTTTGTGTGTCTATATTTTTCTTGACTGTACACCGCCTTGAGTCCTACGGGAGAAAGGCGGTATAGAAATATAATAAATAAATAAATAAATATGCTAAATAATAAATAAATAAATGTGTTGCACACCTAGTTTGACAGAGCTTAATACATCAGTTCTTCTCACTTATTTCAAAACACATTGTATGACTTTATAAAAACTTTTTACATTTAACATTTTTACGGTTGAGAAAACATTCTACCTCCACTGTCTCCACTTGGGAAGTTGTGGGAACTTCATCACCGGAGGCTTTCAAGAAGAGACTGGATTGCCATCTGTCAGAAATGGTGTAGGGCAGTCATGACTACCTTTTTGCCATCACGTGCCAAAAGTGCAGGGAGCGCAGGGGAAGGGGGCGCACGGGCATGCCCACATCTATAATTTAATGTGTGCCCCCCCCACACATGTGCACGTGACCCCCTGCACTTCCCCTGCTTTTGGCACACGATGGCATGGTGGGCATGGTAGGCCCGTTTTTCACCCTCCCCAGGCTCCAGAGGCTTTCTTGGAGCCTGGGGAGGGCAAAAATGGCCTTCCCCACCACCCCAGAGGCCCTTTGGAGGCCAGAAACGGCCCATGTCCCAACTTCCAGTGGGACCGTTTCTTGACTCTGGAGGGCCTCGGGTGGGGAAGGCCATTTTTGCCTTCCCCAAGTCCCTAGAAAGGCTCTGGAGCCTGGGGAGAGCGAAAAACGGGCCTTCCAGTCCCACCAAAGTCAGCAAATGGGCCATTTACATCCTTCCAGAGGGACTCCGGGGTGTGGGGAAGGCTGTTTTCACCCTCCCAGACTCCTAGAAAGTTTCTGGCATGTGTGCCGGAGCTGAGCTAGGGCAATGCTCACGTGCCCACCAATATGGCTCCGCATGCCACCTGTGGCACTTGTGCCATAGGCTCGCCATCATGGGTGTAGGGTCTCCTGCTAGGGCGGCGGGTTGGGACTAGATGACCTACAAGGTCCCTTCCAACTTCAAGGTATTTTCTTGTGACATTAATGATCCCTCTACCAAATCACCTGGTTTTGACCTGCCTGGCTATATCTGGACGAAATTGAACAGAATTAGGTCTGGTACTGGAAGAAGTGCCTCTGCCCTGTATCAGTGGGGATGGAAAATTTCCCCTGGTTGCGATTGGGATGCTGATAGGCAAACTATTAAACGTACTGTGCAAGATTGCCCAGCGCGTCTGTTCTCTGGTTCCCTAGATCTGCATGAAGCAACGCCAGAGGCCAGTGCCCGGATGGCTGAATTGCACATCCAGTCATATGGCCTCTGCCGTATTCTCATACAAGTTTTAACTTGTAGTTACGCGGACTTGGTATATATGCTTACTTCTCTTCTGTCATGTTCTCATCATATGCGAAATAATAACTTAACAAAACCAAAATTGGCTGAATTCTGTCATTAATCTCTAAATTGTGGTTTATAAAGCTGAATGGTCAACATAGTCAACAGAATCATAATAGCCTTTATTTCTGTGTCACCATAGTTAATAATTATAACTATTGTAATCTGACAATCATAGTTTATAGTTTAGTGCAACATGTTCAAGAGCCAAAAGAACTCCAAGAACCTTCTTCAGTTCTGACTGGATGGTGGGGAATGGAACTCCTTGCAGACAGCTGGTCATTTGCATCCTTTTAGCGAGTACTGCTAATGGTTTTGTAGTCTGCAGTTTTTCTGTAGTCTGCAGTTTTTCTGGAAATCTGGTGTGGGATTATGAACGGATTTCCAGAAAACCTACAGGAACCATCTGCACCACTCAGGTGACCCTCCAAGTGGCCTCAACAACTCTCTAAAAGGATGCAAAGGACCAGCTGTCTGCAAGGAATATAAATCCTTCCATTCCCCAACCTCTAGTCAGAGCTGAAGAAGCTTCTTGGATGAGAAGCAAAATGTCTTCAAAGAAAAAGGAAGTCCAGTTGCCTCCTCAAAAAGCACTGTTGGGTTCAGGATTTGATTTTCTACAACAGGTTTTGAACAGAGGGGAAATTAATTATTTAGTTAATTAAATATAAGTAAATGTTGAGGCCATCTGACTCCAAAATGGCTCCAGGTGGATTTAAAGGAACAAGAAAGGTGGTTGGGTGCAGTGATGAAGGGGAGACGGAGTTCTAGTCCCACCTTAGGCACAAAAGCTGGCTGACTTTGGACCAATCACCAGAAAAGGATTTCAAGTCTGGCCTTAGGCATGAAAGTTTGCTGGGTGACCTTCGCCGGTCACTTCCTCTCTCAACTCAGCCCAGCCCAGCCTACTTCAGAGTTGTGGGGAAAATAGGAGGAAGTGTCCACTGCTTTGAGTTATTTATAAAGTAATAAAATAAAATCTAAATTAAAAAATATAGTAAGAAAACCAACTAGAATTCAGAGGCCTTGTTTTTCCAACAGTAGTTGTGGAACCTAATTGCAGAACCGCTCTCCAAAGAAACCAAACTGAAAAGCATCCTTTCGTTTTGAATGGGACTTCAAAGGGACAATTCCACATTTTAGTACTGTTTTTGTTGCTGTGTTGTTTTAAATATTGTTGTACTCCATCTGCAACGGGCCACCCCAACGATGCCCTTGAAGTGATGTCCCGGTGCCTGGAGGCCGTGCGGATCTGGATGGGGAGAAACAGGCTCAGGCTCAACCCGTCCAAGACCGAGTGGCTGTGGTTTCCGGCGTCCCGATATAGTCAGTTGATGCCATCACTGACTATTGGGGGTGAATCATTGGCCCCCACGGAGAGGGCTCGCAACTTGGGTGTCCTCCTGGATACATGGCTGTCTTTAGAAGAACATCTGATGGCTGTGGCCAGGAGGACTTTCTATCAGGTTCGCCTAATTCGCCAGTTGTGTCCCTTTCTGGATCGGGACTCCTTATGCACGGTTACTCACGCCCTCGTCACTTCCCGCCTGGACTACTGCAATGCTCTCTACATGGGGCTCCCCATGAGGAGCACCCGGAGGCTCCAGCTGGTCCTGAATGCGGCCGCGCGGGTGGTTATGGGAGCGACATGGCGTTCCCATGTAACACCTCTCCTGCGCAAGCTGCACTGGCTCCCGGTGGTCTTCCGGTGGTTACCACCTTTAGAGCGCTCCATGGCTCAGGACCTGGATATCTACAAGACCGCCTTCTGCCACCGGTAGCCTCTCACCGGCCAGTACGTTCCCACAGAGAGGGGTGCCGTCGGTCAAAGTGTCAACTGGCGGCCCCCAGGGGGAGAGCCACCTGCCCTTTGGAATGAGCTCCCCCCGGAGATACGGAGGATCCCGGATTTATGCACCTTCTGCTGCACCCTCAAGACTTTTTTATTTCAACAAGCTGGGCTGGCTTAACTCTTTTTAATTGTTTAATTTTGTTTTTAAAAACAGGGGTATTTTAATTAGTATGGGCCAAATTTATTTAATATGTTTTAAATTGTTTTTTAAATTTTATATTATATTTGTTTTATCTTGGCTGTTCACCGCCCTGAGTCCTTTGGGAGTAGGGCAGTATATAAATCTAAATAAACTGAAACTGAAACTACAACAGTATGCAGAAAATGAAATTTATTAATTTCAACAATTCAATAGATAGACCAATCTATATTTTAAAAAAACCTTGTATCAACTGACAATCTATTGTGTTTTTATTATCTTTCTGAAGAAGACCTTCCCAAATATATGGGGAATCTGTAAATATTCTTGGAAATAAGGCTTGACACAATGCACCAATTTTGTAATTAAAACCATCTAAATCAGAGTTCCCCAATGTTTCCAGCTTTGCAGATTGGGGGGGGAGAGAGAGAGGGGATGGTGTTACATGAGCTGCTGGCAAGCATGCACACACACACACGCAGCCCCACTTGCACGAGAGGCGTGCCTATGTGCCTGCCAGTCCCGCAAATGAAGCACACTCAGCCACTGCTCGCACAAGGATGCGTAGACACACACTTGCCAGCCATTTCCATGGCCCGGTTGCAATCCCCTCACAGCCCACAGGTTGGGGACCCCTGATTTAAATGAATGGAATCTCAATGGTGCCAATATTGAAGGTGATTTGAGGGCACCTTCACATCAGCTGACCGAAAGGCAGGTGCTCAGCTATCCACCCCCCCTCCCCCCACAATGGAGGGGGAAACGCTGTGCAGGAGAACATCTCTGTGTTGTGGGAAATGCCTATTAATCTATTAGAATCAATAAGGCCTAAGTGGGAAAAGCAGGCCCTAAAGAGCTACATGAACCAAAGTTTTAGACAGAAAGATTTCAAAGTGTTTCAGAACTAATTGTAATCCTGCTGAGCCGTTGCTGTGAAATGTGATTTTGCAAAGTACGTAGTTTTGAAATATATTTGGACGTAGAAGGATGAAACTACGAGAAATAAGGAACTGAAAGTAGCTGATGGACAGAAGTTTGAGATGAACACAGGTATTTGTGGAGACTGTCAGTAAGAAAGAGCAAGAAAGTAAGTTCTGAATTGAGTGCAGAAAAGCATAAAAAGAAGGTCTTGGGATGAGTTCAGGGCCACTGGCCAAAGTTACTCCTTGTTGGACCTAGCTATTGTCTCTGGACCTCATTGTAAGTTGGGTTATGATGGCTGTTCATGTTCCAAATTGCTCATGGAATAAACCTCTGAATCTTAAAGTAAGAATTGTTTATTGTACTGCTGTCTTCTGTTTCTTTTATTGGGATATTTTTAGGACAGTGTAGTGAGGTTTTCCAGATGCAGTCAAGTTCCCCCCAAAAAATGCTGATTCAGGCTAAGAAATTTTTTATTGAAAGCTGACAAATATCCATAATAGTCATTTCAATATCCATGCTACAACTTAGATGCTCTCAATCATATAAAAATGCATTTTTCAAACATTGTTGGAATCAAATACTGAAAAATAGTATAATGGTGTTAAGGCACTTGGAAAGTAATTGAATACAGGAAACCTGTGTAAGAGAAAACTGAACAGCTGAGTAGTAGCTACTTCAAGAAATATCTTTTTCTTGATCTTCCACAGCCCTTATTACCCCCTGCCCAAAAGAAACCGATGCTACCAAACCCAGGATGGGGTCTTCTTCCTATGGAGAATCTGGGCCTTAGCACAAAAACCAAGCAGGACACAGAGAAGAAGGGAGAACTATTCAAATGGCACCCAGCTTCTTTTGTGATTCTTTCCTTTCCTTTCCAAAAGGTCTTGAAAGTAAAAAAGAAGTCCATTGGATAGTATGTCTCCATTACCATAGACAAGGTGGCACGTTTAATATCTAGTCATGATTCCGAATGAGAAATATTTCAATTTAAGTAGGTTATCCCCCCATCAGCTACTTTTCCAATGAGGCCATCCTTTGATTTTGGTACAAATGCCAGGATTATATACATAGCACCTACACAAGAGATAAAGAGGAGATTCTGCTTTTGGGTTTCTTCCTCCCAATTGCTCAATTATGAAAATAATTTTAAGAACGCCAGTGATCTCTTTTGGGAACACAGTGGAGGACTAGATATTTAGTCCAACCCACCACAGACAATGTCCATTACCAAAGCTGAGCAGGGGGCCGTGTTTGGTAAAGATCAGCACAAGAATAGAACTTGACTGCAGAGCTCAATCTACATGGGGATGTAGATCTCAACACTGTCCACGTTTGATGGGAAGGGCAGCATATAATTCTAGGAAGTTCAGTTCAGTTCAGCAGCAGCAGGAGACCAAGTAAATGGAAATGGTCTCACATGGCAACATCATTCATTTCTCTTCAAAGAAAAGAGCCAAGGAGGCCACTTTATTAAATGCTTAGGAGGTTCAACCGTTATTTCTCCCTTCATGTTTTATCTGTTGATTCTACTCTTTAGGCGAAAGCAAATCACCTATTGCACAGAACCAAAACACCAAAATTGGACTCTCTTCCCCTATCAAGAGATAACATGCCTAGGTCTTGCAAGAGTAAGAAATCTTGCTGAGAAATAAAATCCCTGCAGGTGCTGGAAAAACAGCCACGATGGGAGCTTACCTATTAAAGGACCATCCTTGTCTGAAAAAGCCAACCCAGATGAGCCACTTCTGAAGATCTTGCAGCGTGCAGAACTGCGAACGGAAAACACCTGTACACATGCAAGGCCTAAAGAGATGCGCCGAGTTAAGCTTTTGGAACTGTTGCCTTTTTAAGGCTCCCTTGTTTTTAAGACAAGAAGCGACCCCTTGGCCTCAGGTAAATGGGAAAGAGTCACGTGCTGTAATAGGCATCCTGACGTTAAAGGTTTTGTCTTGCCAAGGCACCAGGGATCTTTGGTTAGGTGTGCAAGGATTTCATTCACTTCAGAGAGGTAGCACCATCTGGATCTTGGACGCCAGGGCTCCACTTTGGCGAATTGCAACACAGCACGTTCTTAATTCATCAGAAAGCTGAAAGAAAATACATATACATATATATCTATATCTATATATCTGTCTGGATGCACCTGGATCATTATCCCATTTTAAAAAGTGATTCCTTCCTAATCCTAATGACACCAAGCGAAAACCAATGTATTTTGCAGCATTCATCCTTTCAAGCATCACTTGAAAGGAGGATAAAAACACACCAAATGAAAAGATGCTGAACAAGAGAGAGCAGGGAGCAGGAAGTACGACATGGCTGTTCAGTGAGTGGGGTTCTCTATTTGTATTAAGAACTTCGGGTAATCCAAACTGTGCCCATACTGGGTGTGCCATAAACTTGGAGTTGGCGGCTGCGTTTCATAATTCTATTAAGAATCTATTCCTTGGAGCAGAGCAATTTGTAAGATAGGAGACACACTTACCTGTATGGGTAGCCATGATATTTGGATCTAAATACTGAGAGGAGCCAGCTGAAGAACACCACCACAAGGCCAACGCCAGCCACGCACATCACTGCGGAAGAGAAAAGAAGCCCTTCACGTCACCCGGAAACTATCATCAGACTGAGCCGTAAAGAGCAGGGGCCAGCAAAATTTCGCAAAATGTGGAGGCCGCCACTGCCTCGATGCATTTACATAACAAACAACTTCCTGCGGGCCCTACAGGAGGCAGCAGCTCCAGCAGCAGGAGGAGAGGTACCCCAAAGCTACCCTACCCTTCTAACGACCGGCACCACTTGGTTCAGCAGTGCTCTGGGAAGGCAAGTCTGTGAGAAAAATGTCAGGAACACTACAAAAGGGCCTCTCAATCCTCTAATCGAAAGGGATGGCGGACATGCTTTATGCTGGCAATGAACTCATCCCAAGAAATGCTGAGCAGCTGTTTAAACACTCCCTCTCTTCCCCACCTGCGCCTAGTCATGTATGTCACTGCGTTTTTGTATTTAACAGCAGAGCTCATTATTTCTGGACTGACAGACTTTCCGTAGCTTGCCAACTTTTGTTATCAGTAAGCTAACTATGTGTATCCACATTCCTTTCTTTTCCACTTCACACTTTTTCTTTGTTCTCTTGCCAGAAAGGTCTGGCTGAGAAATAGCCGGTAGAAACTTTGCAAAAATGTAACAATTAATTTTTAGATAGTTAGATGTTTTATTTTCTTTACAATAAATATGAGTTTATTAGAAGATGTATTCCGGCCTTATTTTTCAAAGATATACACAAGGAAAATGCCACGATCCAAGAAATTACCCCAGGAAGGTAACGGGGCTAATTACCTCTGACAATGTAATCCAACGAAAGCATTTTGCTATCCGTTCTGATACTTACCTTTTCTCTTCCCCACTTCCAAGTCAGACGTAGCAGCTTCATAAAGAAGCACAATCCCCAGAGTGACACCTGCATCTGTGAGAAGGCAGGTTAAGGCCACAGCCATGGACAGAAAGAAGCCTTTCAGCTTTGAGAGAGATCCCATCTTACATAATTATGGCAAACATTCAGATTTCTACACTTTTACAGGCACGGTTGACAAAACATCTGCCCAAAGTTTAGTGTGTCATTTGAACATAACATAGAATGAGAATTCCAACTAGGGTGCAGGGTTAGGTTTACAGATATTCCTCACTTAGCGACCACAACTGGGACTGGCTACTCAATCACTAAACACCACAGTTGTTCAGTGGAAAATCATGTGGCTGCAATGGGTTTATAACCTGGTTTCCTCTTTGGGTGTTAAGTGAATCACAATTATTAAGTAAGGCATCACATTATTGCAATTTGCAAATTTGCCTTCTCCATTAACTTGGATTGTCAGAAGGTGGCTAGGAAGTGTGCAAAAGGCGATCTTATGATACTACAATGGTTGTAAACGCAAGGTCTACTTGCAAATATGTTTTTTATACCACTATAACTTCAATTGGATGGTATAAACAAGGCAGTCAATAAGCAAGGTCTACTTGAAGTAACTCCAGGTAGCAATGTTACATTTACAACACTGAGACCAGTTGCCACTAGAACAGAATAAGCCACCTTCAGACAAATGTGTTTACCTCTTACCTGCTCCTACAGATAGAATATTTTATTGGGCCAAGTAGGATTAGAAACACTAGGAATTTGTCTCCAGTACAGGAGCTCTCAGCGTACACACAAAGTGACAGAGTAATAATAATCATCATAATAATAATACCAATAAGAGGGGGATAAGATAAGGATAATACTACTACAACCCTACGATATGTGTAAGTATCTTTAGACATAAGACAGTGCTGTGGGACGAAAGAAACTGTCCCTGTGCCTAATTGTTTTGGCCTGAATTACCCTGAAACAGTGTCCAGGATGTGAGGGGTCTGTAGATTCGTCCTAGTGATCTCCTGCCAGGATTGGTAGGCGTAAATTTGCAGCACGTCCTCCCCCAGCCCAACACAGGCCATTTCCTGAATTGTAAAACCATCACACAGCAGCAGAAGGCTGGACAAACAATATTTCTGATTGTACTTTCGCATATCCTACTTTTCCTCAAGGATACTAAACAGTAAAACAATATGTGTTTCAGCAACAAATTGTGCTTGGCTGCTCCCATGGATGTAGTTCTGGAAAATAAAGAGATCAAAGACATGAAATTACTTCGGTGGGACAAAGCTCAGAACCTGCATTTGCATGTGAGCAGAAACCCCCATCAGTTCTTTAGAAAGCGAAGCTCAGCTCAGAACAATCTGATGGCAATTAATGCTCTACAACCCCTCCCCCACTACCTCCCACTGAACTTGGAAATTTCCCAGCAGACGAGGACTTGGAGCCAAGGAAAAGGATCTCCGGTTCTAAGGGAAAAATAACTCACCATTTGACCTGTGTGAGGATTCTTATGAGCGTATGGTGGCCCTCTGATGTGATTCCACATCTGGCCTGATGTCATAGCCAGAACAAAGCACTAAAAAACAAGAGTGAATCAGCTGCCATGCATGTGCCACCAACAAACCTACCAAAGGAATGTGCCTATATATAACTAACCTCACAGGGCTTTTTTCACACTTTCAGTTATTTCAAATGTTTATTCTTACGATAAACCTTAAAATTGGCATTTATAAACTCTTCAGACGTTATTTACACAATAGTATGATTTAATCAGGTATAATTTATACCTTATCAATAATAAATTTATTCTCAAAGGAACCAGAGAGGTCTAAAATGTTGATTTCAGATCTGCCCGTTTCCTGCAAAAATAATTCCCAAGCAGGAACACAGAAACCTTCTTTCCTCCGGTTGTCCCTTTTTAAACAGGGGGGAAAAGAATGCCCGCTGCAGCTTCTTCAGGAGAGTTCACGCTGCTGCGTGCCTGAGTAGAGCAAGGGGGCAAAAGGTCAGATTGCTTACCAAAGCAGCAAACGCCCAGCCTGTCTTGTTGTAGAGAAAATCTAGGTTGCTTCTTCTTAAATAGACGAGGCCACCAATGACAGCCAGCAGCAGCCCCAACATCAAAGGTCCAGCATAGTTTGGTGGTCTTATCACTCGGATCTGTGAGAAAGGCAGGCTGCAACTGTCAGCTCCAGTCATTATTTCACTGCCATCAATGGGAGGGGACTTTTCAGCACTGGGGTCACTAAAACGCTCCCTGACTTGGATGTCTCCCACACGGCTTCTAAAATGATTTATTGAAAGGGAGCACATCGAATTCTTGGACATAGGGGGGGCCTCGGCCAGGTATGACATTGGATGACTGATCCACAATATAAAGAACATTTTAAAACAAAGATTATGTTGTGCCTTGTTTATTAATATATGTCTTTGTACCTTTTGAGGGACAGGGCAGAATTAATTAAAAGGAGTAATAAATAGTATAATTCCAACAATGAAAATAGTTGCCGCTTATGTCACTGCTCTCCTAATGTGATGATGGAGGAGAATCTGTACAAAGCAGGTTTCCAGCAGTGTCTTCAGATCAATTTTCCCCCAAAGAAAAAGTTATACTAAGAAAGCTAATAAAATTTTTAAAGTATTAGAAATGATCCACAGAGAAAAATGCTGATTAACTTCTAAAGTTAGATATTCAAGCCACTTTTAATTACTATTACAATAAGTAACTTGATTCTTAAAATATATCCAAGCAATTTTACAAAAAAATGTTCATTCAAAAAGCAAATATTCTAAGGAGGTTCAATTATTAATCAGTGGGATGAGTATTGAATTGCATCACTGCACATGCTAGCACAGTCCTGAGTTGTAAGCCAAACATTGCCATGATAGTTTTGGCAGTAGCTGAGCACATCTGAAAACTAGAAACTCCAGAAGTGTTGTTGTTTTTTAAGTATCTGTTCCCTCAACCACTCTACATTTCCACTTTGGGAATTAAAAAAAATAATTGTTTTCAATTGGTTCATGCAAACTATATGGGTTCATTCATGTATCCAGTTAGATGGTTTTATTAAACAAGTTTTATTGAATAAGCTACAATGATTGAGTTTGCCCAACAAGTGAGGACAAATTGTGGTCCCAATATTCTAAGACATAATGTGTTGCTTAGCTTTGGCTTGTGGTATTGTACTGAATCCAGCAGATAAGATGGAAGTTGATTCCACTTTCGACCAACTAATTGTCAGAACCCACATTAGAGCAGCCTCTTTCTATAGGAGTCTGTATACTCTCTGAAGCTGAAGGAGATGCCCAAGAGTTCAGCAGTGGTCCCTCAAAGCAACAATGGGATAAGAAACCATCTCTTTGGGCAGTCAGAACTAAAAGCATCACATCAGAGGCAAAGTCTGGTGTTTACTTACGTTCACATCTGTTCGATCAGCCACCCAGCGGGCAAGCTGTTCAGCGGCAAAACCTCGCACTTGCAGCTCATAAGTGTCTCCTCTTTTTGGCTTCCCTTTTGGTGGGAAATTAATGAAGGTTGGAGCAGAATTCATGTTGAGCTTTATTTTTCAGCAAAATATACAAAAATATGTCATTGAAAACTTAGTCTCTAATGCCAAACTTTAAATCCCTGCTGTCAAAAAAAACCCGATTCTCAGCTTATGGGAGCAATATTTAGTTTATAACTGATAATATTAGCTCCTCTGCAGGTTGTCCATTTAAACCATTCGCTTCGGTTTTTGCGATAGCTGCAGCGTCTTGGGACTGGGTGATTTTTGAGACCTTCCCAGCAGGCCTCAGACAAGCAAAGTCAACCAGGGAAGTTAGATTCACTTAACAACTGTGGCAAAAAAAGGTTTAAAAATTGGGCCTAGCTCACTTAACACTTGCCTTGCTTAGCAGCCGAAATTCTGGTCTCAACTGGGGTTGTGAGTGAAGGAATGCCTGTACAAGGATGGGGAAAGCCTTTTGTCCACAGGAGAACCTGCAGCTACTCTAGACCAGTGATTCTCAACCTGGGCACAACGTGGGTGCTGCAGAACCCTTCGCTTCACCTCTTCCAGAGAAACCTTCTCCACCTTGGCAACTTTTCAGATGCTGCCTGGGAAAGTCTGGGAATTGCAGTTCACACATCTTAAAGTTGCTAAGGTGGAAAAGCACTGAGATAAAATAAATAAAATATGTTTAATGAAGATAAAGAATACTTAAGGACTTATTTTTTGAATAAATATAATTCAGATTGTTTTCTAAATATCTTGAGATTTTTTTTCAAAATAAAAGTAATATTATCTTTTGCTATCCTTTGTCATACAAAAACCCCTATAAGCAATTCCTATAAGCTCACTGCTTTAAAATCACCAGAAACTCCTCACCATCTGAAATACATCAGCACCTTCATCGAAATCCACCATGGCAAAAAAGATCCTGTTGGTAAATGCACTTGAGAATCGCCAGGAGTTTGCCAGAATCTGGTACTCCTCATCAGCTTGTCTGTCAGAAATGAAAGGAAGTATTAGTATGCACCGTGTATGCACCGGTTGGAAATGTTAGGGGTGGGGGGCACCGTGTTGCGGTGGTTCTCCTCCTTTCTCTCTGATCGGTCGCAGTCTGTGTTGACAGGGGGGCAGAGGTCGACCCCGAGGCCCCTTGTATGTGGGGTGCCACAGGGGTCGGTTCTCTCACCCCTTCTGTTCAACATTTATGTGAAGCCGCTGGGTGAGATCATCCGTGGTTTTTGGGGTGAAGTTATCATCAGTATGCTGATGATACTCAGCTATACATCTCCACCCCGGACCACCCCAATGATGCCCTTAAAGTGATGTCCCAGTGCCTGGAGGCTGTACGGATCTGGATGGGGAGGAACAGACTCAGGCTCAACCCATCCAAGACCGAGTGGCTGTGGTTTCCGACGTCCCGATATAGTCAGTTGGTGCCATCATTGACTATTGGGGATGAGTCATTGCCCCCCACGGAGAGGGTTCGCAACTTAGGCGTCCTCTTGGACTCACGGCTGTCTTTAAAAGAACACTTGACAGCTGTGGCCGGGAGGTCTTTTTATCAGGTTCGCCTGATTCGCCAGTTGCGTCCCTTTCTGGATCGGGACTCGTTAAATACGGTCACTCATGCCCTCATCACTTCACGCCTGGACTACTGTAATGCTCTCTACATGGGGCTCCCCTTGAGGAGCACCCGGAGGTTCCAGCTGGTCCAGAATGCGGCCGCCCGGGTAGTTATGGGAGCAGCATGGTGCTCCCATGTGGCTCCCCTCCTGCGCAAGCTGCACTGGCTCCCTGTGGTCTTCCGGGTGCGCTTCAAGGTCTTAGTTACCACCTTTAGAGCACTCCATGGCTTAGGACCGGGGTACTTACGAGACCGCCTTCTGCCACCAATAGCCTCTCACCGCCCAGTACGCTCCCATAGAGAGGGGCTTCTCAGGGTGCCGTCAGCCAAACAGTGTCGACTGGCGGCCCCCAGGGGGAGAGCCTTTTCTGTGGGGGCACCCACCATCTGGAACGAGCTCCCCCCAGAGATACAGTAGATTCCGGATCTGCGCACTTTCCGCCGTGCCCTCAAAACATTCCTGTTTCAGCAGGCCGGCCTGGCCTAACTTTCCCTTTATATTGCTTTCGATTTTATTTTAAACTGGGATGTCTTGAATTATCTAGGACCAGAGTGTTTAGTATATTTTAATTGGTTTTTGTTTAATTAACATTTGTATTACATGTATTTTTTATCGTTCGCTGTTCACCGCCCTGAGTCCCTCAGGAATAGGGCGGTATATAAATTTAATAAATAAAATAAATAAAATAAATGTGCTTCAGGCCTGAGAAGCTAGAATTTAATTTCAGGATGGCGTGGAAAGAATTGTTACTGCCTTCTATATGTTCGTATCAAGGTCAGTGATGGCTCCTGAATATCTGTGCCTTCACTTCCCTGTGAAAACAACATATCCAGTCATAGTAATCTTGACTGCTAAACCACCTTATACATGCTACAACTATTCCCTCATGACATAATTCCACCCAAAACCGCTACATCAATTTACAGGCTATAAACTGCAATAATGGATGTGTTTAAAATTCTCTCCTTTAAAAGTGGGATAATGGAAGAGTAATAGTCTGCTTGATTGGCATTCACACCATCGAAGTCTAAGTACCCTGTGTCTTTCCGAACAAAGACATACTGTGAGCCCCAATCTGTATTCCTATTCTTTGTCAGTGATCAGATGTGCAGGTGGCCCTCGACTTACAACCAGTGTAACATTACAAACAATGGTCACTTAATGACCATTCAAACGTGGGACTTGAAGATTACTTACTACCAGTCCTCAAAGTTATGATGGTCACTTCATTCTCAACAGCTGTGGGATTGCACTTTAGGCTTAGCAACTAGATCACATTTAGGACCACTGACAGTGTCCCTCAGTCATGTGATTGCGTTTTGCAACAGGTTTTTTTTTTTTTTGTTTTCTGGGGGGAAATGCCCATTGAATAAAATAGGCTAGTACTTACACCCAGGTGCTTTGCTTAACAACCGGGTTGAGTCACTTAATGACTATTGCATAAATGATTGTAAACCTGAGACTGGTCATGTGGTGATTTGACTAACAACGGCAATGAGTTCTGGTCCCATAGGTGATTTTAAGCCAAGGACTGCCTGTAGTTACCTCCAATCTCTGTTGTGCTATTTAAAAGTTTGGTTGACCATCTCTGATACTTTGTGTTCTTAACAGCAGACCAGTGACTCATTCTAACTTGCTACTTTCAACAAAACAATCGTTGGATCCTCTCCAAGTAGTTGAAGTGTCAGTTTTCCCCAACTGTTCAGTTAAACATGAACTAAACTAGAGGTCGCCAATCTTGGCGACTTGAAGACTTGTGGAGTTCAACTCCTAGAATTCCTCAGCCAGCTTTGCTGGCTAAGGAACTCTGGGAGTTGAAGTCCACAAGTCTTCAAGTTGCCAAGGTTGGAGACCCCTGAACTAAACATTAGTTTCTAAAATCATTTTTGCTTTTGGGAACTTTAGGAACTTATACAACTTGTTCAAAGAAATGCTGTTCATAACCTGCAATTATAGCAGATTCAGCATAATATTCATCCCCATACATGAGCCCTTTTTAGAGGAATATTTCCAAATTACCACTTCACAAATGGCTATTTTATCAACTTCTAACAAGCGTAATCCCAGCACAAAAATTCTTAAAATGCACTAATGAGTATACTCTTCTGGTAATATGGTGAATTTCTGAATAACTGATATTCTTACTTGCACACAACGCATTGTCTGTGAGGCTGAAGAGCGGTGAACATTACTATCACAGAGTAATTTCTTGGTGGTGCCTTTATCAAACGTCGAAATTTGTCCCCATTCAGTCGAATAACTGATCTTTTGCTAGTCCATTCAATCAACTGGCTTACTTTTTCGGAAAGCACCATCTAGGTTAGAAATAAATTCTGCAACGTTAAATGCATGCCATCTTTCAGGCACCTAAATGGTCAACAGCTTAAATGTTAATTCATTCCACTTAAATACACATCAGGGCTTATCGTGAGCAGTGCCGGCTCCCACTAATTTACCATGATGTGGTAAATCCATAAATACTACAGGATTACATGATTCTCTCTCTTCACATGAAATGCCACAATTTCCACCCTCTTTTTCCTCTTTCACCTTTCATTGTCAAGTTGAAAGATTGAAAGAAGCCCAACACCACACGAATGTTCACATTAATTATTTTTGCACACTACACCTACATGAAACCGAAGGCCTGCAAATTAAAAAGAATAAACCCAGGCAAGAAACTGGGATTGGAGGGGAGGAGGGCTGCAAGTTCTAGACCTGCCTTAGGTAAAACCAGCTGGGTGACTTTGGAACAGGTTCTCTCTCAGCCCGACCACCTTGCAGAATTGTGATTGTGGAGAAAATAGGTGGAAGGAGGAGTATTAGGTACATTCATAGCATTGAGTTGTTTATAAAAATAATAAAGTATTAGCTATGTTCCTCACATTGAGTTGTTTATAACAATAAAAAAGGCGGAATTTAAAAAGAAAACATAGTCTAACCATGCTGTTGCATTTATGCATCGCTTTTCCTACCCTGGCATACCATCCATCTTCCTTTTTCCCCCCCTCAGCAACCACCCTCCAAAGTGGATTTGGCCGAGATCAACACCAAGGTTGCCATGTGTTAACTCTGCGAAGGATGCCAGATACGCATTGTGCAAAGACAGCCACGTCTTGTCCCAAAGGTGCTTTTTCAGGAGGCAACTGGACTTTCTTGTGTTTTCTTTTGAAGACATTTCACTTCTCATCCAAGAAGCTTCTTCAGCTCAACAGGATAGTGGGGAATGGAAGGATTTATGTTCCTTGCAGACAGCTGGTCATTTGCATCCTTTTAGAGCAGTGTTTCTCAACCTTGGAAGCTTGAAAATGGGTGGACTTCAACTCCCAGAATCCCCCAGCCAACGCTGCTGCCTGGGGGATTCTGGGAGTTGAAGTCCACCTATCTTCAAGCTACCAAGGTTGAGAAACACTGTTTTAGAGGGTGGTTGAAGCACTTGGGAGGTTTATCTGTGTCCTCAGGGTCACCTGAATGCTGCAAATGGTTCCTGTAGTCTGCAATTTTTTCCTCTGGAAATCCATTCCTGTTCCCCCACCAATCCAAAGGTCTTCATCCCAAACTGTATAGCTAAAAGTCTGTAGAGATTCTCAAGTCGTCCAGGTGATGGTTGTCCCAAAGGTGCTTTTTTTCAGGAGGCACTTCTGGACTTTTCTCGTTTTTTCTCGTTTTTCCTTGAAGGCTGCAAGGAATATAAACCCTTCCCTTCCCCCCCCCCCCCACCATCCAGTCAAGAGCTGAAGAAGCTTCTTGGATGAGAGGTGAAAGGTCTCCAAAAGAAAAAAGCATAAAGTCCAGAAGGGCCTCTTGGAAAAGCCTCTTTGGGGCAAGATGTGGCCTGGAGGACTGACCATCGCCATAGACCTGCAGCCACCTCTTCCCTCCCAGGAGACGGAGGCCCTTGGAGGATTTTCCCTTGAACGTATCGCATCCCGATGGGGGCGCATTCAAGGCGGCCCCAAAGCCGTTCTAAGCCTGGGTGGTAGCCAGAAGGGCTCCCTGGTGCGGGGGGGGGGGCTCTTTTGGGCCCTTTTACCACCTGTGGACAGCAATCTGGGAGATGAAGTCCACAGGTGGTAAAAGAGCCCCATTGGCCCACCGCTGAGGCCCTGGTGCAGCCTCTGCGGGGCCCCGGCCAAGAAAGGGCCCAATTCCGCCTGGGAGACGGACGAGGCTGCTGACGGAGACCGGGCTGCCCTGCGAGGCCTCAGCCCAGGCCGCCAACGCGCTTCTTCCCGCGGAGAGACGCCAAGACCGGCCGGCTCTGAGGCGAAACGACGCCACAGCCGCCGGCCTCCCCCTCCCCCCCCGACTCCTTTGCGCATGCTCCCTGCCCAGGGACGGTCCTGCTGCTCGTCTGGATGACCTCGGGTTACCCCCGAGCCCGCGGCTGCCTTGCCGCTCACCTCCTTTTTCTTCTGCCCCTCCACTCCGGAGCCGCCCCAGCCGACCAGCAGCCCCAGCCCGCCCAGCATCAGGGCCCGCAGGAGCAGCAGCCGCGGCGCCGCCATGGCCGCCAGAACTGAGGAGAGAGAGAGAGAGAGAGAGAGAGAGAGAGAGAGAGAGAGAGGCGGCCGACGCCGGCAGCCCGGCCCCCCATTGGTCAGACGGGGAGCCGGGCCAGCTTCTCATTGGTCGAGCTGCCACTCCGCCGTCCGCCATTGGTCCGTGGCGCTTCCGGTTCCGTTCAAGCCCTGACCTTCCGCCTTTAGGGTGAAAGGAAGCGCTCTCCGACCAATGAGAAGGGGGCGATCTGGTGCGATGTGATTGGAGGGCGGAGGCAGAGCTGCCGTCCAAATCGATCTGGCCCCGCCTACAGCTCTTGCGGGGGGGGGGGAGGAGGAAGAATGCAAGTGCATGTAGTCCTCGACTTACGACCATAACTGAGCCCAACGTTTCTCTCGCTAAGCGCAACATTCGCTGACTGAGCTTTGCCCTATTACACGACCTTTCTTGGTGCAGTTGTTAAGTGAGTCACTGCAGTTATTGTCTTAGGAACATGGTTGTTAAGTGAATCTGGCTTCCCCATTGTCTTTCCTTGTCAGAAGATTGCAAAAGGGGATCACGTGACCCCAAGGGACACTGCGACCGTCGTAAATATGAGTCAGTTGCCAAGTTTTCTGAATTTTGATCACGTGATTTTGGTGATGCTGTAATCTTTGCTTAGTTTGTTCTTGGAGTTTGGACTGCAGGGCTCAGCTGGTGGCTAGACAGGTTAGAAATGGTTGCGGGGAGGCAGCTAAACTGCCCGGGGCTGCTTAGCTTTTGGTCTTCCTAAGAAACAGGCGGAATGCCAGTTGTCAATAAATCCTTACAGTAGAGAGAAAAATAAACAAGAAAAATAAATAAATAAATAAAATAAAAATAAAATAGAGTTAAGAATAAAACTTTCCATCAGCCTTGATCATTTTCCAAAATGAAGATCTCAGGTTGGAATTAGGGAAATTTGTTTAAAGGAATTGCCGAGGCAGAAAGTTTACTCCCTTAATCATAACACTATAAAAATTGTATTTGTGTATTGTTGGTTCCCGTAGCTGCTGAGACCCTTTTGCTGAAGAATAAATGTTCCTTCAACTGCCTCTCCTGTCTGGTTCAGATTGGCATTTGCACCAGGCTAAACTGGGTTTGCTAACAACAAAAATACAATGAAATATGAACAATCTATCTATTACTAAAACTCTCGTTCTCATAATTTTTATTTGGGTGAACAGTACAATATAGCAATGCAATAATTTTTGAACCAATGTAACTCAGATGGGCTAACTTACGCAATGTGTCTAAAGTTCGGGATCCATGAATCACAAAGGAGTGAAATTTGACAAATTTTATAAAATGCTTTATGACATAAAAAATATAATAACATTAGAAGTTCTGTTATGGTTGAAGAGACTGAGGAATCTATTCAGAAAATATCTCCGAAAGGGTAATCCACCAGATCATCTGTTGTCTAATTGTATATTTCAAATGATAAGGTGAAAATAAACTCCATAAATATTAAAACTTTTTAATGTGCTTTGGAAGTTCTTTTTAAAATGCCTTTGCTACTAAAATTACAATTTTGTGTAAATCCAGTCAAATAAATAACCATTGGGAATAGCATCATTCCATCGCTGAATTTTAACAAAGTGATCTTATATATCATCAGGATATTCTTCTGTGTTTAAAAAGCCATAGCCCAATCCCATATAAGTGAATAATGGATGCAGAATAATAAACCATAAAGAATTACATGAGAACATGGTCCACTGGATTCCAGTCAAAAGCTGTCCAACTGAGATGAAGGAGACACAGTGTGGCTGGATGTTAACAACTACATGAACCTTTATGATCTAAACCATGGCTTACCAAACTAAGACATTTATCCAACTTTTGAACTCTTTTCCATTCCCATTATGCTGGAGAGTAGCTTGCAAATCAGCCAAAGATAGCTCAGATGGGACCTAGAAGATCTGCCTTTTCTGCTGTAACCCCACAGAACATCATTCCCACCCACCCCCGCCCCAGGTGAGACTGGCCCCATCCCAGTTAACCTTCCTGAAGGCCCTGGAAACTTGTGGATCCCATGGGTAGCCCTTGCACTTAAAGTTATATACCGCTTTACAGCCCTCTCTAAGCGGTTTAGAGAATCAGCGTATTGCCCCCAACAATCTGGATCCTCATTTTACCAACGCTGGAAGGCTGAGACAACCATGAGCCGCTCAGAATCTAATTCCTGCAGTGAGCAGTGAATTATTAGACCTGCAGTATTGCATTCTAACCACTGTGCCACCACAGCTCTAGATTATAGGGTTTGTTTTGTGTGTGTTTTAAGCATCATTATATAGGCAGTCTTTGACTTACAACTGTAATGGAGCCTGCCCATTACAATTGTAAGTCATAACGGTGATATATTGGGTCTGTCATGTGACTCACCCAATTTTAAAGCATTTTTTGTGACAGTGGTCAAGCAAATGCTGCAATCTTAAGTACAAACACTGCGGTCATTAAGCAAGCACCATGGTCCTTAAACAAGTTCATTATTCACTATGGCACAATTTTACTGAAATCCAGACGTGCCTGTTTTTGGCAAAACCGTCAAAATGCAGTCGGATGACCATGGAATTCTGCAAACAGCCATAAATGTGCTCAAAGTGGACTCCACTATCAGAACTTTGGATCCTATGCTTTTTCAGGTAAGTCATAACTTTGAACAATAAGAACTTTGAACAAACAAGTAATTGTGAGAGGGACCTGGGAGTCCCAGGGGATGATCACTTGAATATGAGCCAGCCGTGTGCAGCCACCGCCAAAAAATCTAATATAATCCTGAGTTGTATAAACAGAGGCGTAGAATCAAAATCACATGAAGTATGAGTGCCGCTTTATAAAGCCTTGGTAAAGACCACATCTGGAATACTGCATCCAGTTTTGGCCTCCACATTACAAAAAAGGTGTTGAGACTTTGGAAAAAGTTCAGAGAAGAGCAACTAAGACGATCAAAGGCCTGGAGACTAAAACGTAGGAAAAACGGTTGCAGGATTTAGGTTTGGCTAGTCTAAAGAGAAGAAGAATTAGGGGGGGACATGATAGCGGTATTCCAGTATTTGAGGAACTGCCACAAAGAAGAGGGGGTCGACTTATTTTCCATAGCAGGCTGTTTGCAAGAGAACAAAATTATTTGGGAGCATAAAGAAGGTGCAAATGGGGATACAGAGGCTAGAAATAAATATAGGGCAGGGAGTCTCTGGGGGTGTGGGGTCTGAGTGTGCCCCTGATGTTTAATTTGGTGAATGTGTAACTCCAGCGGGGAAAATATTTTAATTAACTTTTCTTACATTTGCAGATCTCTTTCTTTGTTGTATGAGTCAAGCTGGGACAACTAATTCGTGGGTTCAAGGAAATTTGTGTAAAGAACTCGGCCTGGTTTGCTGTTCTTTGTGCAGGTTCACCTATTTATTTAGCCTGGTTGTTAACTTACCATGGGAAGAAGTGGATTCCTGATCTTTGCAACATGGTACTTTGCTACTTTCGGTTATTTGTTATTCCTGTTAGTGATCAAAAGGAGGCTCAGATGTTATGGAATGATGGGACCAAAAAACATTCCTGGGTCAGCAAGAGACAGTTTATTGCGCAGTTTCAGAACCAGATTTGTATCTGCAATTCTGAACAAAGAAGAGCTCTGATACAACTGCTTTTATACATCTCCAAGACAAAGAATTTTGTGAGCACAGCAGCTTTCCAAATATGGTTAACATATATTTGTTAGGTGATGATTGATACTTTCATCAGTTTTCTATATTACTAAATTCATATATTAATTTCTAATACATGAGATCATCTTAGCTAAACATCCTTTTTTAATTTTGTGATTGCTGATGCATAGATTCATGGCTGCTTTTGGATAATGAGTAACTTTTTGTTTCAGATGGATGTCTTTGCATCCTTGACATAGGCCCCTCAGAAGATATATATTACCAAGAATGGAATTTAGCTGACTTAATGTAATTTCTAAACAAGCACATTTCTTTCTTATAATGATGTGAATAAAGAGGGCCCTTCAGTGTTCATATAGCTGACCCTGTACTATTCCTACATCATTCACATTACAGACCTATTTTATCAATGGTTAGATAAAAAAAATATGGAAATGAAATATGGTAGAGGCTTTTACAATACAAGAATTGTAGAACTATGTGAAATATAACATATAGGTGTATTACTATTGGATAGATTCAGGAGGACGAAAGGAATGTTATAATAAAAATTAACTTAAATCTTAGAATACTTTGAATGATAATGAGGGAAGAAAAGGTCATAGTTAAATATATGATTAATGAGGATAACAATAGATAGATAGATATTAGGTCAATGATATGAGAATCCAGGTAAATTGTAAGCTATGAATTCGGGGAATGATGCACAAAAGACTTGTAACCAACCCACTCACTGTTTGCAATTGAAGATGGTTTTATGTATGTTTGTTTAAAAAGAAAAAATATCTTAAAAAAAAAAAAAAGGACGGTCGGAGACAGGATGGAAACAAAGTTGGTTTTATATCTCTTTGCAATGCAGGGCTGACATTTGGCTCAGGAGAGAAGCCCCCGCCTGTCTTTCCGGCTGCAAGACAGGCCCTTTCTCTCCCTGCCCGGGGGAGGGGGGGAGGTCCCGGTGCGGGAGGGGCAGAGCCCCCGCCCTCCCGAGGCTTTCTTGCCATTTGCCGCAGCTAAACGTTTGCAAAGGCGACCCCCCCCCAAAAAACGAAGCCTGTCAGAAGTGGGATTCGAACCCACGCCTCCATTCGGAGACCAGAAAGCCCCGCCCTCTCCGGGAAGGCTCTTTGCCTTGAGTCTGGCGCCTTAGACCACTCGGCCATCCTGACAGCACAGGAAAAAAAGCGCTCGCGGAGGCCCTTCAAGGCTCTGCCGGAGCTGCGCGGCGGAGGGACACCGCACCAGCGAGCGAGTCATATGGCTATCGTGAGGCGAAACGGACAGCCGGGACCGAAACGTGCCCCGGTCGGAGCCTCCTCACTCGGCGCGCTCGCTCCTCTTTGCGATTGCGGCG